AAACATCAAATTAAACGGTGCAAATTACGAATTAGACAAGATGACGACGATAGCTAGAATAGGTCGACCTCACCTTTTACGCGGTCGACCTCTTGAAACACGTACAACAGCCACCGCAAAAGATCTTCTTCTTCACAAAAGCTCTAACCGTACAAAAAACCAAATTCAGAGTTTTGGTAGAGGTGAAGGTAACTTATAGATATTTAGGATGAGATTGGGTCGAATTAAGTGATAGACAAGTTATTGTTACCTTTCTAGTGTTGGAATCCTTATCCAATACGAATACGGTGTGCACACGGTCGACCTTGTACTTGTCAGGTCGACCGTTTATACTATTTTCCTAAATAATCCCGACTTTGATGTTTATCAGTTAATGAAACAGAGGTCAACCTTTTCACTTATGAGGTCGACCTCTTAATAGCAAAATGGTCGGCCTTTGAGATATTTGGGTCGGCTTTTATGTTGTTCGTTCCCCAATGAGGTCAACCATTTGTTGTAAAAGGTCAACCACGTCGTTGAGCCTCACAAAACTGAAACAGCAGATTAGGTCGACCTAATCCTATCAGAGGTCGACCTAAAAGTGCAAGTTACGGTGACTTGCATGTTACCATAGCAAAGTCCTAATATGTATTGTTTACATTCATTATATATTGTGAATTGGTGCATTAAAATGATAATTTGTTACATGTGATCTTATATGATATTGGTTAATCGATTAACCAATTAACCAAATCAATTAATCTTTGATTTGATTAGTTTCATGATTGATAGAATTTATTCTTAAATAATTTGGCAATAGTACCATGGTCTTGTCTTAGTCTTGTGTAACCAATTAACCAAACAAGTTAATATTTGATTTGATTAGTTTCATGGTTAATAAAATTTACACTTAAATAATTTGGCTATAGTACCATGGTCTGGTCTTAGCCCTGTGTAACCAAGAATTTTTTGTGCACGAATGATGATTTTTTCAACTGATTTCTCCATAATTTATTAATGCTTAATAAGATCTATTGAACGCAATGATTGAATAACCGCATCGTACCGGCGGTCAGTTAAGAAAAACCTTTTACAGGAGGATAAATCAGCGGTATGAAAAAATTCACCACATTAAACCACAGTTTTATCATAAAATATCCTACCGCTACCTTTTTAGGTAAAACCTCTAAGGATTCATGCACCTAACACATAAACAATGTATTTGGATAGTTGAAAAATGGAATCGTTTGTTTCCTTGAGAGGACCACTTCCTTAACACTTTTTTAGGCCATAACCTATCCATAAATCGCTGAGAGCTGATCACCACAAACTTATTAGTTAGTGTTATTATTTTCTCAGTCGCTCTTTTCTTTTGGTGCTTTAGAGTGAGGTTCTATAGAAGAGAATCAAATGGGAAAGGAAACCCTGTGCTTTGTAAATGCTACGCAATTTGCGAAAGTGGTCACATGGAATCCGGGCATCTCTCCCCCCACCCGTTTCTTTTTGCCGTTTTGGGAAATGCAAATGGAACTCAAGGACTAATTACCTCGAGAACACTTCAGAGTTCTCTCGTTCTCGTGAAGAACAAGGGAAACATATATTGGTTTAGCAAGACTCGGACTAAAATTAATGTGGCAGGCATTAGTGGCGGTTTGGCTACAAAGATTGCATTTGATCATGAGATATTTATCAACACGAGGTGGGGTCACGGACAGATAGTATATATCAATTATCTTATCCAAAATAATTCGAGTTTTACCCATATCCATATAAGAATCGGGTAGAAAATCAAAAAATAGTCATAACCATACAACTTTCGGGTATCCACTGTTATCCATGAATAATGAATTATCTTTATAACTCCAATCAACATGTTAACATTCACACATATACTTATATCATATAAGTGGAAAGTAGACATAGCGATAGGGTTAGATATGCACCACATTTCCCCCTTCCTTAAACCGTCAATAGCGGGTTGTCAATGCTTTTGAATCTTTGCTCATCTCTGAATGTTCAGAAGGGATATGTTCATTCTCCAGTTCTTAGCTTATTTGCAGTGACTGAAGACTCGACTCTCCTTAACGAGCATAGTTCGCTAGCCGCAATAGGATCGCGGAGATAGGCATCATAGCTAGGGTTCACTGGTTGGCCATCCAACATTTGTATGGACCTCTGATATTTTCCCTGTTTGTTTGATCTTTCAGCTTGTAGCCTTCACTTTCCATGGCATTGTAGGTCCTCCCTAGTTTACTTTACTTGCAAGAACAATACTTTAAAGTGGGGTGGCTGGTAGGGATGGCAATGGGTCGGGTTGGGGACGGATAGTGCATATCCGTTACCCTACCCAAAGTAGTTCGGGTTTTGCCCATGCCCATACCCACATGAGAAACGGGTAGAAAATCCAAACCGTGCCCATACCTGTTCGGGTTTCGGGTATCCACGGTTATCCATGGGTAATAGTTTCCCTTTATAACTCGAACCAATATGTTAATATGCACACGTATTCTCAAGTTGCGTAAGACAAAAACTACGACAATAATCACTAGAATGAAGAAAATTAATTAAAACAACACAATTTCATAAAAATATTATATTTATATGCTAAATATAAAATATGTTAGAAAAAAGTACTGATTATTTCTAGACAAAATACATTTGCATGTGTATAATCGAGCGGGTTCGGGTTAGATAGTGAGAAAATCATGGCCACCCATTACCCGCAATATTCGGGTTCGGGTTTTACCCGTACCCACTAAAAGTTCTTCGGGTTCGGGTTTTATCCTACCCGATTAAGCTGGATTCGGACGGATATCCACGGTTACGGATATTTTTGCCATCCCTAGTGCTGGCTCCCGTGCGAGTGTAGTAAAATGAATTAAGAATTAAAAGTTTGCTAACGTTCGTGTATTAGCTGGGGAAGTCTGGAAGGAGACAGAGGGTTAGATCTTATATCTTGCGCAACACATGGCATGTCGTCTCGTCCCCCCCGACGTTAGAGGAGCTTACAATGTCCCATTTGGCCGCCGGCCCGCCCGACGGGTCAGGTCATTATCGTGCTGTGGTGGTAGGACCAAACCAATCAAGGCCCATGCTGGTAAACCTAACCTTACTCACAAGTCACAACCGAACTCTCTAAAATGGATCATCCACTCTTTCCCTTATACTGCTTCTCCTTTTCCTTTCCTTTCAGCACTTCACCTTTTTAGCTATTAAATCATGTCAAAGAAACAAATTTTAAAAACAAATAATAATGAGGGGAAAACTGTATGATGAGAGTACCAGCGTCGTGTCAAGCTCTTTTCCTCCCCTCTAAGCTTATCTTCTGTACGTATTCCCCCAGTAGTGCTCAAGGGCATAGCTTTTTGGAATTTGGCTAATTTCGCCCTTCCACTCCTGATTATTCTCCGATAAGACGGAATTTCCATTCCCTAAGACGTATATTATCAATGGAAAAGGAACCAGAGAGATGGGAAGCCGAAAGGGAATGCAGAATCTCACCACGATTACCTCATGATTGTTACCCAACCCACAGGCCACAGTTGATGCGCAGTGTAGTGTAGGTGCAGTTCCACTTGACCTGGATTGCTTGCTGTCTGGCCCATATACTATATCCTCTTTCTTTCCTCCCAATTATGTCTTCATACTTTGATGCATCTCAGGCGCGATCCCAAAATCCTTCTACAAGTGGCTGAATTCTGTCAGCCTTTTTACCCTGAAAGAGAGAAAGAGAGAAAGAATCTCGTGGGGAAGGATTACGGGATGCCCTTTTGTCCTCTACAGGGTCCCCTCCGCCCATTTCCTCGGTCCCCATTTCACTCCGCATAGATTTGACGGAGAGGCCTCCCAATCTCCTCCCACTTTCACTCTGCATACTTTTCCTGAACGTTTCATCCATGTTAAAATAATGATGATGGTGATTAAACTAATGCATAGTAATTGTAGCCGAGATCGAAGGCATGAATAGCACAGAGGAGTCCAGTCTAGTCAAGGTTGAAACATGCTAATCATCAAGAAATCAAGACGTGGGCCAATTGTTGGATAAAAGGTCGGTGAAATGGAAAAACAAATTGGTGCAAAAGATAATGAGTATTGTAATACTACTAAGTTGTCACACAAGTAAGGAAGATGGGATAAAGATGAGAAAGTCGGTTTGGGAGAGAGATGGCAGGTTAATATGGAGGGGAATCCTTTTTGGGACATTTATGGCTGGGGGGTTGAGTTTTTGCATCCACATACAACGTTAGCGTGTGTATTAAGGAGGAAGAGAAGGGAAGAGAGACTCACGGAGTAGAGCAAAGGGGCATAGATTCACAATCTGTCTGTTGGAAAGGACTTTGATTTCGTGGGGGGGCCAAACCCTCTAAAGACAAGAACCCATTGGTCCACGTGGCATCCATGACACTTCAGCACCTTCCTCCTCCTCCTCCTCCTCTAGTCTTCCCGCCCCGCCTTGTCTGGCTGGTCCAGTTCTGGATCCTGAAATGAAAACACCAACATAATTTCACTCAAATCTGTCCTTCCTAAACCCACCCCCTCTTTCTGTCTATATATGATTTCACGCCTCCACATGACATGAGTTAGATGATGGACCTTCCACCACCACCACCACCACTACCACCAACCAATTTAGGAAGAGAAGCACCATTTCTATTGCCAATTGCCATCTTCTTCCCTCTATATTCCTTCCTTTTTTTATATTTCCTTTTCTTCATATCCCACACAGGCTGGTAACTAACTCATTGAAGCAGGCTGCATTTACAGAGAAAAAAACAAAACCAACCTTGTGTCTGCCACTTGCACTGCTATCTCACTTTAATCCCTTTCTGCAATTGCCCGCCTTTTTTCTGCAGTCAATCGTTTACCCTTCTTGTTCAAACACGAGGAAAAGTGCTCCTTTTACCCCGTTCCTGCTTTCATTTTCACCCGTTAACAGAGACCGCTTGGTTCCACAAGCTTCCTGCAGAATCCTTTCAAACAAGTCAGGGTTCTGTGAGAGAAGAAAAGGAAGAGTGCACAAAGGAGAAAGGAAAAGCTGAGTACTTTTACCCTTTTCAACACCCACCACTCACAGGCTTCTTACTTGTACCCCTCTCTATATAAATACATATGCATAACACACGGATATCCTAGGGACTCACCACCCAACATAGCATTGTAACAGCGCCCTTTCGCTTGGAATTCAAAGCACCCAACATGATGTTATTTTCTAGCGCCAGAAACTTCCTACAACGGTTCTGTACTGAAGATGTTCACTCACGACGCATCCCGAATCATGGCAGCTTCTTTTCCAATGATCTCTTGCCATCGCTTGGAGCCAGAATAAACCAGACAACTAAACTCAGAAGACATATCATTTCACCTTATGATCCTCGGTATAGGTGATTCTCCCACTTCCCATCACCATTCTCTTGAGCTGTTACTTACCTCTCTTTATGTGACTAGTAGTCTCAATCATGTTGTACTTGTCGTCCTGTATTAACAGGGCTTGGCAGATGTGGCTCGTTGTTCTGGTCATCTACTCTGCCTGGATCTCTCCATTCCAGTTTGCATTTCTAACTTACAAGAAAGACACCCTTTTTGTTATCGACAACATTGTCAATGGTTTCTTCGCCATTGACTTGGTCCTCACCTTCTTCGTTGCCTATCTGGATAGCCAATCTTGCCTTCTCGTCGATGACCCTAAGAAAATAGCAATAAGGTGGGTAAGGCTTTTTGCAACATTTGACCCTACATTGTTTCATCTTTCTACTACCCCAAGCAGATCTTTCTAACCCAATCCGCAGGTACATATGTACCTGGTTTGTCTTCGACGTCTCTTCCACTGCACCATTTCAGCCTGTGAGCCTCCTATTTAGAGAACAAAGCAGTGAACTCGGATTCAAATTACTCAACATGCTACGTCTCTGGCGTCTCAGGAGAGTCAGCTCCCTGTTCGCAAGGTCAATCACTCTAACCTACAAACCCTATGTCTTGTGTTCTGTTTCTTTTATTTCACAAAAATTAAATAGCAAAAGTTAGTCAATGCCGGTGCTTAATTTCCTTTCAGACTTGAGAAAGACATCAGATTCAATTATTTCTGGACTCGATGTTTGAAGCTTGTTTCTGTAAGTCCTTATTACTAAAATCCAAAGTTTCAAATACATGCCCCTTCTGTAGATGACACCGACCATCCAATTTCTCATTGGTGCTTTTCAGGTAACCCTATTCGCGGTACATTGTGCTGGATGTTTCAACTATCTCATTGCAGACAGATACCCTGACCCCACAAGAACCTGGATCGGTGCAGTAAACCCTAATTTCAAAGAAGACTCTCTGTGGAACAGATATGTCACTTCAATGTATTGGTCTATCACTACGTTAACTACAACTGGTTATGGAGACTTGCATGCTGAGAATCCAAGAGAGATGCTTTTCGATATATTCTACATGTTATTCAACTTGGGACTAACGTCTTACCTAATTGGGAACATGACAAACCTCGTCGTGCATTGGACCAGCCGGACACGGAATTTCGTACGTACTCTTTCTTTCGCTCAGAGAGCACTCTGCTCTTCTGACTCAATTTCCACCCAATTAGAGAATGAAAACTTCGATAAAGTTCATGAAACATTTCATAAGTAAATGCTAGAAGTCTGCCAATGTTATGATATATTAATTTCATGAGTACTTTCTCATAAGGTGTTTGAGCACAATTTTAAGCCTGAGTCGTTGAATCAGGGAACATGATTTCCTTCAAGGATAAGCTGCTTTGATGACATCAGTACTAAGCAGAGAAACTTGCCTTTAATTTTTGCAGAGGGACATGGTCAGGGCTGCTTCAGAATTCGCCACTAGGAATCAGTTGCCACCCCGCATCCAGGACCAAATGCTGTCACACATATCTCTGAAATTCAAAACAGAAGGATTGAAGCAACAAGAGACCGTGAATGGCCTTCCAAAGGCCATTCGCTCAAGCATTGCACATTATCTCTTCTATCCCATTGTTGAAAACGTCTATCTGTTCCAAGGGGTTTCACATGACTTTCTTTTCCAGCTGGTATCATTTCTAATACTGTCTGCTTTTTCTATTAGTTCTACCAAAATGAAAACATATAATTAAGTGCAGAAACTTTCTTGTAAAGGTCTCAGAAATGGAGGCTGAGTATTTTCCACCAAGGGAAGATGTCATACTTCAGAATGAATCTCCAACAGACCTATACGTACTGGTGTCGGGAACAGTGGTAAGTCCTAATTTCAAGTCATTCTAGTAGTCTAAATAAATAACTACCTAAAAATAGGATTTTCTAATGAGTCAATTCCACCGTGCAGAATTTTTTAACCTCAGTTGACGGACATGATCGAGTAAGTACACAATTTCTTTTATAATAAATACCTACTGGAGAACTTGTCAAACCAAATCTTAATCAATCTTCTCTCGTTACACTTTTTAGGTTGTTGGCAAAGCTACTGCAGTAGACATGTTTGGGGAGATGGGAGTTTTATGTAACAAGCCTCAACCTTTCACTGTCAAGACTACTGAGCTTTCTCAAATATTACGACTCAGCAGAACTTCTCTAATAAACACCCTACAGACAAACGTGGACGACGGGCATAAAATCATGCATAACCTTTTCATGGTGAGAGAAACTAAATTGTAGCATGAATGGTACTATATCAAATTATCTATAGCCCTTCATTTCGGTAGAGACTAACTGAGCTGTTGCCTGTTGGTATCTTTTCAACATAAGTAGAAACTGCAAGGGCAAGAGAGCATACCCTCTGAAAGCAATGGAGGAATGACCCCTAGATGCTGTGCAATGGAAGGAAGTCAAGGCTATTCACATGGGGATAAATCAGTTTCTCAAAGAGGGGAAGATTCACTGACAACAGATTTTAAAGAGAAGAATGAAGTAGGAGAAGGCCATAATTTTACGAGAGACTATGCAGATTTTATGAATGGCCAAACAACTCTGCATGCTGCAGTATCCAAGGGGCATATAGAAATGACAAAGGTTCTGCTTGAAGGAGGGTCAAACACGAACAAACCAGATGATAGAGGGTGGACTCCCAAGACAATTGCGACAGAGCGAGGAGACAAAAGCATATATGACCTCTTAGTAAGCTACGAAAGTAAAACCCGAAGGACAGGTTTCATTGACCAGGAAACTGCATGGCTCAATTCAGCAAAGGGAATCACAAAAGTCACTTCGAGTGATTTTGACGACAGGGAAGCAAAAAGCTTGAGCACGAAGAGAGTAACCATCCATATGAAATACCAAGTTGAAAGAACATCAAGCCAATGGGGGAAATTGATTATCCTACCTCAGTCCATGGAAGAGCTGCTCAGGATTGCTGGTAAGATCTCTTTAGTCTCAGCAGAGTGTTTTAGCTTAAACCTGGATATTGTCTGCAAAAATAATGGACTAGTTAAATTTGATATGTATAAACAAACAAACATGAAGACATATACAAGAGATTGAACCTTTAAGAAGTCTTAGTACTCGGTCAACTTGCATTTTCTTTATTGCATCCTCATCCGATTTGTCATTGTAGCAACTTGTGGCACTGCAGGTGAGAAATTTGGAGGCTACACATTTGCAAAAGTCATCAATGCTGAAAATGCAGAAATTGATGATATATGTGTCATTCGAGATGGAGACCATCTATTTTTCCTTCAAAACGACATAGAAAGTATGTAAGCCAACAACGGCCACAACAATCAGAAGGCAGTGATCTAGAAGCTAGAAAGAGCTGTGTATATTCCGCAATCTGTATTAGAAATATAACGAGAATAGAGTACATCAATTGGTGAAAATGAGCATCTGAAACTGGTCACTGATGCTTACTTTAAGAAGTCTACCATAATAGTAACACTTTCACTAGCTACTTTAACGAGAGAGAAAAGAAAGAAAAAGTTAAGGTCACAATCCTGTGGCTATATGAACAGAGTTGGAGACAATTTCTTCTTCTGTATCTAATTGAGCATACACGAATGGAGGTGATTCAGATCACAGAAAAGAATCACGGCATTGAGTTGGCCTAGGAACCTCACGAGCAGCGAAGCATGTGAATGATTCGCCATAAAGATCAAAAGGGTGAAGACTGGAAGTGCATTTTCTTCGACTCAGCAGCCTTAATGGAAAATAATTATGAGCCTCTCTCACGTGCCTTTAATTGGAAGAGGATGAGCTTCTGTGTTGAAGACGAACTTATCTAATGGGATAACGGAACTATCCCCAAAAAGCAAGTAAAAGTACTTCAATGTTTCACCGAGAAAGAAGGTCTCCATCTTGTCCCTTCTTCGAGGGGGAAGGCCAGTTACATCGTCAAGAGAACTATATCCACCAGAATCAACCTTTGTGTACTTCTCAAAAGCTTCAAAAATATGCCAGCCCCACTCACGGTATCTACAATAGATGAGAATTGGTAAGAAACTGCAAGTATTATCTCAGGTTCAGAACTTCTATACAGGAGCAGAGAGAGCGAGAGGTAATATAATAATCAGACAAACAAGGTAACCTAGCAAATGAAATTGCATAAACATACTTTGGGTCTTCGGTAACACGGTATAAGACAAACAACGATTCCACTGTTTCTGGGCGCAAAAGATTATGTCGGTCTAGAGGTTTTATTATTATGTCATTGGTATACTTCGAACTCTTGTTCCCTCCATCAAGACCATCTTCTGAATATTCCTGCCCAATCCAGAAACATTTACCACATTAATTTTACAGAATGAAAACTTCATTTAGTAAAAGGAGTATAATGAAGCATCACATGCATTTGTTTCAGTTCAAGCAATAGTAGAAAATACTGAACATATTCAACAAGTCTGACAAACCTCAGTATGGAAGTAAACAATTTCAGGTGCAAGACCAGTGGAAGTTGCTGCATACATCTCAAAACAAGTCTTTGCTAGGTCCTCTGCAAGCTTCAAATTTTCAAGGTCTTCAAAGTTGAGCAAGTTTTCTTCCATTGCTTTCTTCTTGGTAAATCCCTTAGTGGCTCCAAGGGCAAGTGTACCAGGCAGAAAGCACACCTACAAAAATAACAAGTGCGTCATTTCCTTGTCATCACTCTAAACTCCGGACTTCATCAAAAGATGGCAAAGAAACAATTACATGTATCCATTCAACCTGACATGCACTGAACTGAACCCCTATCAAGAATTGGCATACTATGTTCACCAGCTCAATGCAATAAAGCAGACGTGTAAAGAGAAAGTACCCATTCAAAGAGAAAGTACCAATGTTCACCATACAAAGTTCAGCAGAAGACCTGCCAGGGACTTATTCAGCACTAAAGGTGTAGTCGAAGCAAGATTAAGCAAGGCATGCAAATAACCATCAACAGCAGACAGTAACACATGAGTAGCTTTCATTATCCAGTCCGTTTGAAAAAAACCTTTAACAACTGTGCATTTTCCATACATTCGGGGACTATCTAGGTAGCATCTGGTGTAAACATTGCCTAATCTAAATGGTTGAAGCCAATCAAAAGAGGTAACAAGTTATAACTACTCTGGGGTTAGGGACAGATCTCTGTTACCTAGATGAAATGGAAAGAGTAACATTGCTTTTCACGATTCCAGAGTTCCATCCGCAGTCGAGACTCACAGCAAAAACAATACTCATATTAACAGCCAATTGGACACGTTTATGGCTTTTGAAAGACAGTGAAGCAACAAGGCACAAAAAATAAGCAAGAAATGCAATGGCATAGAACACAGTTAGATATAACATACCAGGTGATCCATTTTAGGACTAAAAGCACCATTAGGTCCATAAGGCAATTCACCTACAAACACCAAGCCATTTGGGATTGACTTCTTCACAAGTCGGTGCCTTACACCTTTCATTGCTTCCGTGTACATATCATGAAGATATGTAAAGTTATTATCTCGATTGCTCCTTTGCTGAAGCCATACCTTAATCAGGTACTCATAATAGCTGTCTCCACGAGATCCAAGTCTGATATTTTCTCCACTAAATTCACCAGAGTCTGGACTGCAATGGATGAGATATTATCTATTTAGATCAACTGGACTGATGACATCTGGAAAATCAAAACTCACATAGATAAATTTTTTTAATATGTAATAAGAGTGTCTTGGCAGGCTAAGTCTCCATGTCAAAGTATCCACTGGTGTACAGGAAAGGTTCATTGTCTAAGTCTCCATGTCAAAGTCCCCTTCTTTCTTATTCATAACCAAAACCACCACAAACACAAACTGTCCTCTGTTTTCCTGAGCCCAATACTTATGGCTGAACCGAAATATTCCTAATAGAGAGTCCAATTCAAAGGGTGATAGATTCTGCAGGAAGCTGCACAAAAACATAGAACTGCAACTTAATAGGGATGAAGTTCCAAAGCCAATAGCTTTTTCCCTGGGGAAGCATGAATCCTATGGTTCACATAGAACACTGAGACCATTTCTAGATTGAAGACGTCTTTACTGTTGATAACAGAATTCGCTAGCCCACTTTGCGGATGAATATGATTCGACTAACATGCACAGATTTTACGATTATTTGGAACAGAGAAGAAAGTATAAAAATCAGCTACAATTCTATTAACTAACTAGTCAGCTTTCACAAAAAGAGGCAATTGCGCATTAATCCAAAATGAAGTTCGAACACTTAATATTAAGATGGATTCGGAAAGTTTGGTTCTAATGCCAGTGACCTCATATATAGGACAAAGAAGGAAGAATCAGACCTTATATAGATCGGAACAAGTCCCTCCACCTTCTGGAGATCTTTCATGTGCTCCAAAACTTTCATAGCAGCCATGCTGTATTTTGGATCACCAGAAAGAGTACTGAGATAATTGAACTCAAGCTGCAAAGTAGAAACCTCCGAAGTACTACTCAAACCATCAGGTGCTCGATGTGCAGAAGGATCATGGAGAATAACATCACTGAATGGAATGGGAGTGGGACTGGAAGTGAAAGCTAACAGCAGACGGTCAGCCAAGTCTTTAGCAGTATCAAGGTAAACAACTGGTTTAGGCCCCTTATACGTTACGTTTGTCCCCTTCTCCCCTCCACTTAAATGATATGCACTTAAAAGTCCACCCAAGACACGAATGGTAGTCTCAAATAAATTAACTTGGCCTTTCTTCTTAATCAAATCAGAGAGGTGTGTCTGAACCCATGAGCCTGCCTCTGAAACAATGTCATCAGCACCCATTATCATAGCAGTATCAAGCGCATCCACAACGGTAGCACCAAGGCCTCCTAATCCATCAGTTCCTCTCTGGCTGAGAGGCATAAGTTCGTCATAGCCCATAGCATACTTTTTATAGCCAAACCAAGCATGCATAAAAGCCTCTTTTACTTTCTGTTGTCTTTCTACCCATCCCAAATCGGTATCAATCTTTGCTGGTTCATGAACAGCTTTATCATTGTGACTACCATGCTCATTGGGTGGTAATCGTGGAGGAAGCCTCGGTGGCTTCCTCCCGATCCTTCCAAACAAAGCATTTCCTCCTGTCGCATTTGTACCTTCCCCATGAACACTCAATTTATCCGCTGCTCTAACCGAAACAGAATGGGCGGTACTTGTATGGGTTAGCATAAGATATCCTACCCCAAAGATTAACAATAACGCTAGAAACTTCCCCGTACTGCAGCTTACACAATCCCGCCTCATGGTATTGGTGAGCAAGGACTGCGTTATGACCTAAATCAAAAAGGATAAGTCAGTCATTCCACCAAAACAAAAACCACAATCAAGCATACAGAGGAAAATCAGAAAGCAAAATAATGAACTAAACACCCCCATCACAATGTACTCTTTGATGCTAGCATATGAAGCCAAGAAGACAGTGAGCAAGAAAGAAATGTGAAGACAGGTTCTTCTAGTCCTCGTAATACAACTCAAATGATTGTACTGGAGCCAAGTTGTGACCGAAGTAAAGTCCAACTGAATTACTTGGTGAAGTAGGACGCATAAGAACTAGTAATTTCAGGCTCCATAGTTGTAGGCGTCTGGACACATAACAACGCAGTCATTGTTATTCGCATTCTCCCAGTCATTTCATTTTCGCTTTCAGGACCTACACTTCCGCTCCCCAATCACAAACACCAACAAACAATCCACGACATCGAACAAATTGCTCGCAATTGAATTATCTCGCGAATCAAAGACTTCTCCTCAATCCCATTCATTTGGATCATCGTCATACGATACATTATAGATTAAAAACGGGAAGGCAACGAGGCAATGCCATCTGTCAGCTTGAGCTAAAATCAATCGAAATCGAATAACGGAAAAAAAACAGCTAAATAACATCGATCAGCAGGAGAATTTTGCAGAGATCGAGATCCAGATGTATGGGATGATGAGAACCTTAGAAACCGAACGCTGGCGGAACTTGGCGTTGTCGTATTGCAAATCTTTAACCGAATAGGGAAGCGATTTCGACATGCTCGGAACTACTAGGGCTTCCCGATTTCGTTTTTCCCCTCTCTGTCCTTCCTTCTCTGCGCCCGAGCTCTACTCTCCTGCTATCCTCCGCTTGGCGATAGCAGAGGCAGAAATGGCGGAGCCGAGTAATCACCTTACGAACGCCGAGCGGGGATCATCCGATGGAGGGAGCTCGGAATGAAATTCTGAAAGAGAGGCAGTGAGGAAATTGAGACTGAACTAAGAAGAGAAGGGGGAATGAAGGAGACTTCGGAGCTTGGCTTTGTGGTGGTGGTGTTTTTAAGTCAAAACACAATACGGGACAGCGGAAAGGTAGAAATGGACTCTTCTCCTCTTTGCAGTACTTTCTCGGCAGGTTCTGCAATCCGATCCGAACGATGATGTAACGCGGTAAATTTCGGGAGTCGCCATCGTCGCTGTACTGCTTCTTTCACTGTGATGACCTCGTCCGAAGAAAGAGGAGAAATTAAGCTTGATGGGCCGGGATTCTTCTGGCCCAAGTAAAAAACACGGCCCTTCAGATTCGCCCGTAATTCCACATCGAGCCCAACCTTTTGCTTTGACTTACAAGTCTCTTCCATAAAAGGTAACGCGTGTACACCTCCGTCCCGTCCTCCCTCAAAAGCAACACTTCAACTCAGTTTCATCAATCCCCTCTCGTCGATTCCCGATATTGCGGCTTTCTTCCTTTCCTTTCTTTCTACTCCCTCCTCTAGCCTTTCCACCGCCAGAAACTGATAAATGCGCCATTACCGTGGCTGCCTCCGAGCTTGGGACAACCACCACAACAATCTCGTAGCCATGGCGACTCTGATCAACGTCAAGACACTCATCAAGCTCTTCTTCACGGCCTTCCTCTTCTTCTCCCTCCTCCTCATCATCTCCGCCGTCGTCGCCCTCCCTCCCAGGTCCCCGCCGCCACGCCCGCAGCCGCCGCTCCGATTTCACCCCCCGCGAGATCAGTTGGCCGTCCACCGCCATACGACGACGCAGCGCAGCCGCAGCACCACTACCACTCCCGCCGCCGCAAAGCGAGATCACCAGGCGCGTGATCATACTCGCGATCCGGCGGCGGAGGCGCAGTACCAGGTGTTCCACATCAAGAACGCGACGCCCTTCTTCTTGGACGGCGAGCCGGGGACACGTGGAGGACGCCGTGGGATTGGGAGCGGTTACAACCACCGCCACCACCACCACAAGCGCAACCAACGGGCCAAGACGGGCAAGATGAAGAAGACGAGGATGAAGATGACGTCGACGTCCGGCAAGAATGACGACGACGACGACGTCAGCAGGAGGGGATCGGCGAGGCAGTTCTCCGTGATGCTGCCCAAGGGCTTCGTACCTCCCTCGGGGTCGTCTCCTTGCCACAATGCCAAACCCGACGAATCCACCAAGGGCGCCGCCGCCGCCACCGCCACTTCCTACTCTTGCCGTCTCTCCGCCGCTGAACCCTAGCGCCGTCGCCACATTAATTCTTCTCCAGGTCGGTCGGTCTGTCTCGGCCGAAACTAATTTTGGCGGCATGCATGTCTGATCACGGTGACCATATTGTAATTTTGCTGCTCCAAAACCCTAAACCAAACAAATTGTTTTTTTTGTTTTTTTTTTTTTTTTTGCATTTCTTCCTGCCGATTTTCCAGTACTTTTCCTTTCTTTTGGGCCGTGAGATCGATGGTGATATGATTGACGCCTGATATTCAGATCTCGGTTTATCGCCATGGATCTGACTGTAAAGGTGCAGGCAGGGTTGACCGTGTAATTAGGACGAACGTACGATTTTGTTTTCTACACTGCTACTGGCAACGACGAGTACTTCTATGTTCTCTGTGTAATACATGTGTACTACTGCTGCACTGAGTTCCTTGTTATATTTTTGGAAAGGAAAAGAAAGATACATATATGATATATATGTGTCAGTCAGTGGAGTAGTGAGGGGAAGGAAGAAATGTATGTTGGGTTATTGAATGAGTTTGTTGTGGTTTCTTGTTCCAGGGGGAATTATTGTCTCTGCAGAGTGGCGATTTGAGAATGAACTAGATAGGAAGGGGACGTGTTACAATTTGTACGAAGAAGAAAACATTAGAAATTGCGATATCGGGGATGGGAAATAGAGGGGACACGTGATGGTTCCGGCAGGCAGGCAGGCAGCATTTGGTAAGGGAGTATTTGGTGGGACGGGGTAATGGTTATGGGACATTTCCGTAACGTGCACTCAAATGTTTGCGATCGCATAGATAGCGCTCTGATCTGCTACATATATGTAGAGCACTTGATGAGTCCTCGAATCAATAAGGTACAAAAATGCTACAAAAGCCAACTGCATGTCTTTCAAACTTCGAGCCTGCCTGCACAGGGACACCCTGGTTTTGGTTTGGACGATGTTTCTCGGCACACAAGTTGGGTGGTGAAAATTTGGTACAGCGCACAGATTTTTGGTTTCTCATAATTTACCAATTATTTATGCAAATCAACTTGTCTTTGTGCACATAAACTGTTTTTTTAGAAGGATCGACGCTAAAGCGTCTAATTCGTATTAACAATTAATCGATCATTGGAAACTCCCACAATGTCATGACTTAGCCAATGGCCAAGTTCCACATCGTACACATCGAACAAATGTGTACCAAAATCAACCAGGTGACCTCTGCTAGCGAGAAAGTCAACAGCAAAATTAGCCTCTCTATACACATGTGAGACTTTAACCTCCCAATCAAACGAAAAAAAGTGGTAAAACTGCCTAGCCACAGTTCCATGACGATGATTGTCATCCAAGCAGTCTCTGATAATGCTAACAGCAGCAGCCGAGTCAAGCTTTAATTCCACCTTTCTGAAGCCTCTTTCCCAAGCAATCCTTAGTCCTTCCAAGACGCCTTTTAGTTCTGCAGTGGTGATAGCGCATTGGCCAAGGTTGCAAACAAACACATCCTTGCATCTTACCAGATGGTCTCTGATGAGCCCTCCTGCAGCAGCATTCCCAGAAGGTTGCAGCACCGAGCCATCAGCCTGAACCTGAATCCATCCCTCATTAGGAGCTTTCCACGCAATCTGACAGCACTGATAGTTCTTGTCAGTTGGAGAAGAAGTGATCAAGTCCATTTGCTTAGCTTGCTCAATGATATTAAGCCAAGCTTTGATTCGACAGACCAGTCCTTGTTCCGAAAACTTGCTGCCTTCCATAACTTCTTCATTTCTTTGTTTCCAGAGGTTCCAGCAAACAACCCCAAAATCAACCCCTATATCCTCATTGCTCAGATTTCCAATGATCTAGTCCTGGAAGGGGAGATTCATGTCATGAGTGAGCAGCTTATCCTTGAACTTGTGCCAAATCATGTCTGCTTTCCCACAGCTGCGCAGAATGTGCTCAACAGTTTCTTCCTTGTCCTTGCAGTAGTTGCAGTAGGGATTTGTTGCAATCTTCCTTCTTGTTCTCTCCCTGTTGGTGAAGAGATTGTCATGGATGACCAGCCACAGAAAATGTTTTATTCTGTTAGGCCCTTTCCATTTCCACAGCATCTTCCAGCTTTGAACAGCATCCTCCACATCAATACTGGCCGCCAGGTAGTATGCAGACTTCAAACGAAACCTGCCATCATGTTCCAGGCCCCAGATCATCTTATCCTCTCCAAGATCAGGCTTAGGAGTTTCCATTCCTGCAATCAGAGAGAGAATATCATTAGGGAGGAGAGTTTTAAGTCTTTCTCAGTCCCACTCACCTGAAGGGTGAACCCAGTAGGCGACAGGTGTGTCCAGATCCTCCATGTTGATCTCTCCAGTGATGAAATTCTCCAGCACCAAGTCATTCTCAATCCATGGATGCCTCCAGAATGAAGTTGTCTCTCCATTTCTGATGCTCCAGCAAGAACCCTCCTTCATGAGTGGCATGGCCTGCACAATAGCTCTCCAAATGCTTGAATGGTTAGTCTTTTTCATAGATGTGATCTCACCATTCCTGTGCTTAAAATATTTTCCTTGAAGAACCTGAACCCACAGAGCATTCTCGTTATTAAAGATTTGCCAGGTCAGTTTAATCATAAAAGCTTTATTCAAGCAACGGGCAGATCTTAACCCCAGTCCCCCTTGAGTCTTAGGTTTGCAAATGGTATCCCATGAGGCAAGGTGAGGCTTCTTTTTACCATCTTGAGACCCCCAAACAAAGCCCCTAACTTTCCTATCAATCAAATCACACACAGTGAGAGGGATAGGGGTGGTCTGCATAGCATAGGTTGGGATTGCATTGAGGACAGAAGTTGCCAGTGTCACTCTCCCAACAAGAGAGAGTGTTCTAGCCTTCCAGGTAGTCAAACTCCTGTCAATCCTATCAAGAATGTACTTGTAAGTACTCTTGGTGATCCTTCCATGGAGGATAGGAACCCCAAGGTACCTACCAAGGTCATTGGTTTCCTGGATACCAAGCCTAGAGCAGATAGAGTGTCTAGCAGCCTGTGAAACATTCTTAGAGAAATAGGCTCTGGACTTCTCTTTGCTAATAAGCTCACCCGAGGCAAGGCAGAAAGAATCAAGACATTTTATAACCACATCAGCCTGGCTAGTACTAGCATTGGAGAACAAGACAAGGTTATCAACAAAGAAGAGGTGTGAGAGGGAAGGGCCACCAACAGACAATGACACAGGTTTCCAGTTTCCTTCTCTAACTTCCTTAAGGATGCAGTGACTCAATCTTTCAACACAAAGAGTGAACAAATAAGGGGAAAGGGGACATCCCTGACGAAGACCTCTTGATGGGATGAAGTTTTCAGTTTGTCCACCATTCCACAACACCTGGAAAGGTGTAGTAGTCACACAGGCCATGATCATCCTAATGCAGTCCACAGGTAAGTGAGCAGCAGTCAGAGTTTCCTCAAGGAACTTCTAGTTAATCCTGTCATATGCCTTGGCAAGATCAACCTTCAGCAGCATGCTCCCTGTCCTTACAGTTTTCTTGGACATAGAGTGAATAGTTTCCTGAAGAATAATGATATTGTCAGTAATATGTCTTTTAGGAACAAAACTCGATTGATTAGGCAAAACAAGGTGGGGCATAAGGTTCTTAAGCTTGTTGGCAATGCTCTTAGCCACCACCTTGTAGCCTACATTACACAGGCTAATGGGCCTAAAGTGGTTCATTGATGAAGGGGAATCCACTTTAGGGATCAGAGCCAGAAGGGTCTCATTAATGCAATGGATCCTTTCAAGGTTCCTGTAACAAGCAATAATGAATTGGAAGAAGTCACTCCCCACAGTACTCCAGCATTTCTGGTAGAAAAGAGCATGGAATCCATCCTTCCCAGGAGTTTTGAGGCCATTCATCTCCATAATAATGGATTTGATTTCCTCAATTGTTGGTAGCCTCCTGAGAGGATGCATTATACTCTAAAATGGGTTCTAGCCATCTTCTGGAGTTCATCAGGGTCCAAAACCCATTGACCCTGGTTGTTGAGGAGAGTTGTGATTTTGTTCCTCTTCCTTCTACTAATAGTACAGTTGTGGAAGTAACTAGTGTTCATATCTCCCTTTGTAACCCAATTTGCCCTTGATTTTTTGTTCCACAGCATCTCTTCTCGCCAGAGGGTGCTCTCAAGTTCTTCTCTGGTTTCCTGTTCCTTGTCAAGTGAACTTCTGGTAGGCTTCCTTTGATTCAACATTTCAAGGGATTTCAGAGACTGAAGAAGCTCCTTCTTTCTCTTGAATATGTTTCCAAACACATCTTTATTCCATTTCTGCAGCTCTCTTGGCTGGTCCTGTAAGGAAAGGAGAAACTCAAAGCCATTTTTCCATGAACTTGAAATAAAGGGAAGGAAATCTTTATGATCAAGCCAGGAAGCCAGGAAATGGAATCTCCTCACCAATTTTTCCTTTCCACTCTCAGTGGAGGTGGCAGTGAGGATTGGTCTGTGGTCAGACTTCAACTTGGGGAGATGAAGCACATTGCTTGCTGGGAACTGTTGCTGCCAAGCCAGGTTACAGAGGCTTCTGTCAAGTCTTTCTTTAATTCTATTGGAATTGGAAAACCAGGTGAAATGAGGGCCTGAGTACCCCCAAATCGAAAAGACCACATTCATCAATACAGTCTTTGAAGGCTCTAGTTCTTGAAAAGCTGAAAGGGGAACCTCCTTGTTTTTCAGAAGGCCTGATGATGGAGTTGAAGTCACCAGTCAACATCCATGGCAGGTCAATACCTCCCTCCATTCCCTTCAAAAGACTCCAGAGTTCCCTTCTGTCATGCTCATTAGGGCTTGCATAGATAGCAGTCAGAAAGAATCTATCTCTCCCTCCAATTGCACATCTCAGGTGGAGAAACTGTTTATGTTTATCCATCACATCCAGCTTCAGGCTGCTGCTGTTCCACAGAACCAAGACGCCTCCACTGAATCCCACTGCCTCAGATACTTTGAAGGAGTCAAAGCCAATAGCTTTGATAACCTTGTCAGCCTTCTCTCCACTAATTCTAGGTTCGA